TCTCTCTCTCTCTCTCTCTCTCTCTCTCTCTCTCTTTTGTTGCGTACGTATGTGGGAACAACAATATGATTGATACGATAATGCCAAAATGTGTCTCGGAGACAAAAGCGAGAGAGGTTCCTGCTAAATATGAAAGGCTAAAAGTTGTATGTAGACCTGTGAAATGAATCTGGGTTAGTGGCTCGACAAAAACTCTGGCTCTCTGAAGCCTGTAAGGTCGGTACTGTCCCTGCTACTTCTATATCGAGGCGGGATCATAAGGATTGAGGAAGGACCTAGACTTCAAGCCTATAAAATCAGTATGGGCCGCCATAGTATTCATGACCAGGTTAATCGGTAGGATTTTGAAGTATTACTATAATTGCCCGCATGATTGGAGCGAGCGCAGTCTAATCTAGGAAGCACCAAAGGGGTTGTGACTTCGGAAAGACCGGATGCGGCATGGTTGCAAACATATAAATAATGTAGGAACAATAAATTTTTCTCAACTTGAGTGACATATGAGTGAAAGAGTTGAGATTCTCTGATGGTGTTATATCAGGGCATGTGGGGAAGGAGTTGGTGACGTCATGATAATAAAGCTCACATCATCTTCTTCTTAATTGATTATTGTGTTTATCATGTTATGAAGAATGGCCATGGCTCGAATGCTCTTGAGCTTCTTCAAAAAAGAAAAGATGGTGGGTTATCACGCGTCCTACCAGTGAGGGGGCTAGCTGGTAGGATGGGAGCATGGTATAGCAGTAGCAGAGATGGTGGCTCCGCTGCAGTCAGTCTTGCCGGAGTAAGGAAAAGTGGATTGTTGGGGGTTCTTCTGAGCCGTTTTTGAATTTTGCTTAATCATGAATTTGTCGTAGACATGTCTGAAGGAGCTCCAAATTCTCTGAGCCAAAGCCGGGTAATGGCCCCGGTATCTCAATTTTCAAAACTTCATTCTTAGGCCAACTAGTTTTTTTTTAACGGGACAACGACTTTAAGAAAAAGGCGGACTCTTTCTTAAGGCGGCACTATCCAGAAGGAATCCTTGCAACCCTCCCCCAGTTTGATGGCTTGATTAGGGTCGCGACTACAGATTTGTATGTCCTCTTTGAGGAGGACAAAGACTCGAACCTCAAATGACTCAATCATGGAGCCTTGATGAAACTCTCCCTTCAACAGGTGAAAGCCAACTCCTTTTGGTCGGAAGGTGACCTGCTCACTTGTCTATCGAAGATCCTCCGGTATGGACTGCTTTGCACAACCAATTGGTCCACCAAACCATGGGTTTGGGTCTAGATAGGAAGGAGGTAGCAACAGGGAGCTAAAATGGATGAAATCGATACCCTTTATTGCAGAAATCCTCAGTGGAAGCATTGCCTCATAAATGCAGACCTCGACTTAAGGACCCTCAACGTGAACAGACTTGTCTCCTTCAACCCTTTGAAAAGGCAAGCGATATGGGATCAGTTGAAAGGGGTAGGGGGCAAAACGTGGCCAGACGTCATATGTATCCAAGAAACCCACCTAATGGATAAACCGAATCACCATCGGGCTCACAAAGCGGTTTGGCTCCATCAGGCCTACATGGCGCATGCCCATACACAGGGGTCGGCGGGAGTGGCGATCTGGATCCCGCCCGGGTCCAGAATAGAAGTTGTAAACTGGGTCGCCGACGAGGAACAAGGGAGATGGGTGTCGATTCTCGGCATGCTGGAACTAGAACTTATCAACATTCTGTGTATCTACGGTCCCAACACGACAACGGAAAGGGCGTCTTTCTTCACCCACCTCCAGACACTCGCCCCTCAAGGAGTTCCACTGGTAATCGTCGGTGACTTTAACGCTGCACCAGACAGAGGGATGGATAGATGGGCCTCCCGGGCCTCTTGCCCGGACTAAGTGGAGAAAGATGAAAAATCAATAACGGATCTTTGTGAAGCCCTGAGCTTGG